TTTTGTTTCATACATTGTGGTAGGCATTTACAGATCATCACACTTAATCTGTACAGCTATCTTATGAAGGTGGGAATTACTACCCACATTTTATAGTTGGAAGATTATGGTTTAGCTAGGCTAAATAACTTGCTCAAGGTCACATAGCTCATGCTCCCAAGCTCTGAGTCCTGGTCACCTGCCTCCTGGTGTTCTAAATGAATCCTTAGTATTTGTTACAGAGTAAGTTCCTCTGCCGTGGTCGGCAAACTACGGCTCTCGAGCCACATGCGGCTCTTTGGCCCCTTGAGTGTGGCTCTTCCTAAGCCTTAGGAGGACCCTAATTAAGTTAATCACAATATACCTACCTATATAGTTTAAGTTTAAAAAATTTGGCTCTCAAAAGAAATTTCATTCGTTGTACTGTTGATATTTGGCTCTGTTGACTAATGAGTTTGCCGACCACTGCTCTAGGGAAAACACGCTATTCCTCTGTTTTCCATAGTAAGCACTAAAATATCTGGGTAAGAAGTTAAATTGATAGAGAACAGTTTCACAAGACTTAAAACCATTATATTTCATCAGATGGTAAATAAGATACTAAGCCCCGCTGGCATGGCTCAGTGGTTAAGTGTTGACCTTTGAACCAGGAGGTCACGATTTGATTCCTTGTCAGAGCACATGCCTGGGTTGCAGACTCGACCCCCAGGGTGGGGTATGCTGATCGGTGATTCTCTCTCATTATTGATGTTTCTATCTCCCTTCATCTCTGAAGTCAATAAAATATCTATATATCTATCTGCCGAAACCGGTTTGGCTCAGTGGATAGAGCGTTGGCCTGCGGACTGAAAGGTCCTGGGTTCGATTCCGGTCAAGGGCATGTACCTGGGTTGCAGGCACATCCCCAGTGGGAGATGTGCAGGAGGCAGCTGATCGATGTTTCTCTCTCATCGATGTTTCTAACTCTCTATCTCTCTCCTTTCCTCTCTGTAAAAACTCAATAAAATATATTTAAAAAAATATCTATATATCTATATAGATATATATAGATATAGGTATATGGAAGCCTAAGCGACCATTATGACAGAACGACCAGAACAAACGGTCACTGTGACGGGCACTCGATGTAGGAGCTGCCCCCAGCCTGCAGGCCCTGATCGCCCAGTCAGGGCTGGGCCCCCGGGCTGGGACGGGGAACTGGGGGTGGGTAGCAGTGGATGTGGGCAGCAAGGGAAGGAAGGGGGGAGGTGGGGAACCTGATCAGCTCTGATCACTGGCCAGGCCTAGGGACCCCACCTGTGCATGAATTTCATGTACCGGGCCTCCAGTATATTAAAAATGCATATGTACTAAAATAGCCCTCACTCATCTTTTAGGTTGGGATTAACTTTCTATTTGTTTCATTTGATTTTTTTTTTCATTACTTTCTGATAATTGAGAATAAGTTAGAATGAAACCGATTTCTCTGTAGTCCCACATTAGTGTAGCTGACTTATGACTGGTCTTCTATCCCACGTGAACTGGTCTCTGTGGAGATAAAGGATTCTGAAGCGCCTAAGGCCTTAGGAGACAGAGACCTTAGAGATGGTATTAGTGAAGGCCTTGCTTAAGTGCTGGGAGCTATGTACAACTGGGAGTAAATGTATCTGCTCAGAAGACTTGATAGTACTTTTCATACCTTTCTCCAAGAAAATCTGATCTCAATCATCTTGTAATTGCCTCATTCAAAAATGGCATTGATACTGATTGCTAGATAAAAATAATTTTTAATAGGTTGTAATCATTCAGTCCTTCTATACCTCTCCCCCTTCTCCTAAATTTGGTTACAATTAAAGTTATTGCCACCCAATTACTAAACAAAGAAACCCGGAGTCATACTAAATTTCTTATTCTTATGCCAATTAATAAGTGCAGTGGTCTTACCTATGTTATTTCCTGAATTTGTTCCTTCTCCATCCCTATTATACATTAGTTTAAGCTCTGTGTTTGCCATTCAAATCTTTGCCAGTGGTTCTCAACCTTCCTAATGCTGCAACCTTTTAATACAGTTCCTCATGTTGTGGTGACCCCCAATTTCATTGTTACAAATTGAACATAATTAAAGCATAGTGATTAATCACAAAAACAATATGTAATTATATATGTGTTTTCCGATGGCCTTAGGCGACCCCTTGTGAAAGGGTTGTTTGACCCCCAAAGGGGTCGCGACCCACAGGTTGAGAACTGCTGCTTTAGCCAATGATTTATACAGAATCCATTATCCATGCCTTGGCATAAGGTCCATAAACTAGGTCCAAGTAACACTTATTTAGAAAGGTATGTAGAGCCCTCTATTACCTGGCACCTGCACCCTTTCCAACTTTTCCTGCCAATTTCCACCTCACCTCATGCCAGCAATACTGAAGACTGTGCCATTCTAATACTCTGGGATCTTTCATTTTAAAAGCCATAGTATACTACAAGCTGTTTCTGCATCTGCTACTGGACATTCCCCAAGGCAGGGACTTCCTCACTTATCTTTGTGCTTCAAATGCCCACCACAATGCCTGGACAATGGCAGGCACCCAAGAGTTTATTGAACTGAACTGCAAGCCTTTTTCATCTTGAAGAAAGTGTAACAATTTAACACATACTGGTCACTGTAATATTTTTTTCTTTGAGAATTTCCCTCCAATTCCAAACTTTTTCATTGATACGTAGTGGACATGATTTACTGTGGAAATTCTCATGCCAACAGTTGTTTGTGCAACGCTTTTTATCAGCCTGATTTTGCAGGCAACTCAAAGGTGAAGTGAGTCCCAACACTGGTGTGCATACCCGCTTCAATCAGTCTTTCCTGAAATGTGGAAATGCAGTGCTGCACAACAAAAGGAACATTTCTAGTGATTAGAATCACGTTAGTGAAGAAGAGAAAAAGACAAGCACCAGGAAAAGTTTTATATAACTGTATTTTGTGATGAATGTTTAGTTAAACCTAAATTTTCAAAAGGCAAAGTATCCAGAAAACCTAAAAAAAATAAACACCTAAGTATAAGATGCAATATAATAAAAGGCTAATATGCAAATCAATCAAACGGTAGAATGACCGGTCGCTATGACACACACTGACCACCAGGGGACAGATGCTCAACGCAGGAGCTGCCCCCTGGTGTTCAGTGTGCTCCCACAGGGGGAGTGCTGCTCAGCCAGAAGCTGGGTTCGGGGCTGGCCAGCACAACAGTGGTGGTGGGAGCCTCTCCTGCCTCTGCAGCAGCGCTAAGGATGTCCGACTGCTGTCAGATATCCTCTGAGGGCTCCTGGACTGCAGAGGGCACAGGTTGGGCTGAGGGACCTCCCCCCAACCCCCCACTGTGTGAATTTTGTGCACTGGGCCTCTAGTTATATATAAGTGAATTGGGGAGTGGGAAAATAGTTAAGTACATATAGAGAAATGACTTATGACTTCAAATGCTTTCTTTCCCTCAGCAGGAATATAATTTATTCAGTGCCCACAGTTGCACACTAGCTCAATTTTGAGATCTAGAGCAAGAAAAGAACATGACAGGGCTGTATCTTTGACAATTTTCATAGTGTTGACATCCTGTTCTAGTTCCTGGAATAGGGAGTAAACAAAGCACTAACAAAAGGTACTGTTTGTCTCTAGGAGACAATATTTTGAAATTTCAGGTAAAAAATTTCCTCCTAATTTTTGTTTCTCCACAGAATTCCCACATACCCTATTATTTACTACAAGTTAAGGTTAAGAATGTAAGATCAACAGACTTGCTCTATTAAGAAATCTAGTAACTTTATTATTTTAATATAACCAAACTAGTGGTTTGAAATATCCTATTTCTAGATAATGTAATCTACATCAAAGAGAAACTAAAAGACCATTTTTATAGTTTCATAATGTGAAAAAATTCTAGTTTGAAGCAGAAAATGAAAATTTTAGAATCATCATGGAGAAATATGTCATTTACTTTCTAATATGCTCATATTTGAAGAGCAATCTATTAAACATAAAAATGAAATGATATGTCAAAAGAATGCAGCATAGTCATTAGGTATATTCTCAGGCTAGGTAAAACAGATTACTAAATGTAATATTTTAAGATAGGAAACCTTGATTTTAAGGTTTTTAATAAGAAACTCCTGCCCTAGCCGATTTGGCTCAGTGGATAGAGCATTGGCCTGCAGACTGAAGGTTCCTGGGTTTGATTCTGGTCAAGGGCACCTGCCCATTGTTGGAGGTTTGATCCCCAGTAGGGGCATGCAGGAGGCAGCCAATCAATGATTCTTATCATTGATGTTTCTCTCTCTCTCCCTTCCTCTCTGAAATCAATGAAAATATATTTCAAAAAACAACTCATAATTATACTAAGTTTTATAATAGCAGAGACCAAAACTTAAAACTTTTAAGACAGAACTTAGGTAGCCAAAAAAATCTAACGAACAGGTAAAGTTAACAAAAAGATCAAGGGAGACTTTCAAAAATGTTTAGTTATCAAAGCAATGTGCTTATCTCAACAGCAAATAGGATATTTTTAATGGCAAGACAAGTTGATTCCTTACTCTAAAAAACCAATTTAGTAGAAACAGGAAATACTATTTATCTTTTTTACAAACATATTTATATTTTCAATCTCTTCCATTTAAGAAAAATGTTCCTCATTATTAGGAAGAATGGAGAAGATAAAACAAAATCCCTAAAAGATGGGGCCATAATTTCCCTGTGCCTAATACACTGTGTAGCAACAGCTACACCCAGTGGCCACATATGAGTAATGACATTTTCTAGCTATAACATAGTAAAAGGTAAATTTGGAAACAGCTCTTTTTCAATTTATTTAAGGTTCTAGGGTGAACATTATCTTTCACTACCAATTGTTTTAAGAGAACACTCAGCAATCTCCGGGTGTGGGTGGGGATGGGGGTGTGGAGAAGGGTGGCGAACATAGGCCTTAGTTCATAAGCCTGAAGCAATTATGCAGAATAATTCCTTTTAAAAAGTAGCTAAAATAAAACTCAAACACCAGAGAGAACGTACAGATACTTTATTGCTCACCTTTCACACAAAGCACACCTCCAGCCATTTTCTTTCACAGCTTGACAATGTTTAAGTATACAAAAACCCAGCAAGAAGCGTCGTGTAGGTTTCAGTAAAGGAGAATGTAAAACATCAGCTCAGCCAGGCTTTTGTTTTCTGCAGCAATAATAAAGGGCCTCCTGCACTAAGCAAAAATCTGTCCTCTTTCTCTGTAGTGCATTTCTTAACGTTACAAAAAAAAAAAAGTCTCCTGCTCAAAGCAAACTAAATTGTATTTGCTGAGCCAGTGGTATTAACTCGTGCATAAAACAAATTTCAGTTTGCTGTTTCTTCTAGCAGATTTCAAGTAAAAATAGGGTTGAAGGAGGAACTTGTTTTGAATGAATGCAGGTCAGTTTGAATTGCTATACTTCACTAAATGCCTACATGTACAATAGACTCACAACTTAGTCTGCTTTTATAATCTTGACGGATTTTGGCCGCGTTCAAAGTTTTCTGAGTTCCGCTTGTGGTATAATATTCCATCAAGAGGATAAGGCTACTGAATGTGCTATCTGCAGAAGAGCTCAGTTAATAGGAACTGACCTAAAAGTTCTATCAGGAAGCAAATGTGGCATAACCTCTCCAAATAAAAAGCCAACCAGGGTGGAAACTGTGCTTGCAAAACAGACATTAGAATAGTATAAGGAAAACACATATAAATGGGTTGTTAATATGAGGAAGGCTTCCTAGTTGTAAATCTAAAAAAATCTAGGAGAATCCTCATTTTCAAAACTGTATATTGAAAACTACTTATTCAAGTAATTTCTTCAAAAAGTATGCATGTTGACTGTGGAATTAGTCTACTGGTCAATTAAAGGCAATTTTAATTACCTTTAAAAAAATTCTTCATACAAAGGAGCGATGTACGTGTTTCTCAAATAAACAGCATTATGTAAGCCCATTAAAAAAAAAAAATCCAACAGAATTGGATTCTGCCACCTGTGGTCTCACATTCAAAATCCACACTGGACTCAGGATTCTTAAACTAAGTTTCTATTACTTGAGCTCTAGCAAAATGTAAGGTTCTGTAGCCTCAACTAGTGTAATGTCTTCCTTGTCCAAATCCAGAGTGATTATACTGATAACCACCATGCTGGAAGTGCTGTTCAAACTGTCCCCCTTGGTGATAATTCTGGCTCCCCCTCCCTCCCCAACCTCCTCCCTGGCCTCCGCGTCCACCTCGGCCTCCACGCCCACCTCTCCCTCCACGACCACTGCCTCGATCACCATGGTGCCCACCATCTTGGTATCTATTGTCCTGCTGGTATCCACCACCCTGGTATCCACTTGCTGTATAAGTAGTTGTTTGGAAGCCACTATAACCACCACCTTGATAGCCACCACCGTGGCCACCATGGTAGCCACCTGGCTGGAAGCCCGAATCTCGATAACCACCATCTTGGTAGCCACCTCCTCCTCCACTCCCTCCATCTGTCCAGCCTCCTTGATGCTTATTTCCTCTTCCTCCCCCTCGGCCACCGTGGTCGTAGCCACCACGGTCGTAGCCTCCACGGTCATAGCCACCACGTCCACCTCTCCCTCCTTGTTCATGACCTCCTCGTCCTCCGTATGAGGAATGTTCATAACCACCTCTCCCTCCGCCTCGGCCTCCTGCTTGCTGCTGGGGGCCATCCTGCCTTTTCTGCCACGGTGGCATCTCCGGGGGTGGAGGCTCAATTTCATTGGGTCTACCGCCTCTGTCAGGCACCCTGCCCATCAACACCTGAGGGAGAAAAAAGGCATTTTAAACCATTTTATTTTGTAAACAGAAATACCTGTATTGGAAAAAAAGATAAAGGTACTCTAATTACCTTATTGATGGCACAGGCAGACTTTTCTCTTACAGAACCACTGCTTGTCCTTAGAATCTTGGACAAGTCTTGTCTTGCAGCCAAAAGGTGAGCAACAGAAATAGTACTTTTAGAAGATAAGACTGAACGTTTTGGTTGGTAAACCTTTGCTAATTTCTCTGTGTGACTCTGTTGGAAGAAAATGTTCAAAGAAAATGTCAGTTTTCAAAATGAATATAAACACTCATATTCAGTAAGTTAAAAGATTTCCAAAATGTCTGGTATAATATTTATGAGGCTCAAGGGGAAAAGTTATATACTTATCATTGCTCCTACCTAGTCACGAACTCTATTACAGTACAGCAAGAAATGATTATGTATATTTTGGGGGTAAAGAAGAGGTACCCAGGGGGTAGAGGGATAATTTGGGACTATGAAGGTCACCCCTGTTATTGGTCTAAGGTAGTTGCTTTTTAATATTCCCATATTGGCTTATTATGAGATAAAAAATGTTACCTGTGACTAATTATGCCAACTCAACATGATACATTTCTTACAAAAGTGATCCCTTCCTATTTAATATTTTCCTCTGGTATAAATAATAAATAAGGACAAAGGGTCTATCTTAACCATTAGTAGAAGTGTAAGTTATGATTAAGGTTCCAAGAACAAAAATATTTGGTATGCCTTTTGGTTATATGCAGGTACTCAAATATTGATGTAAATCTTTGGATTACATTATATAACAAAATAGAATGTAAAAAGGTAATTTACTATGGTTAAACATGAACAAAGAAAGATACTAAAAATGCAAACAGCTATTGTAGTTAAGACAATGAGATGATCTGTGACTTTTATTTTTAAAGATTTAATAATGAAAAGAATAAAAAAATTGTCATTCCATAGTTTGGGGAATGTTTCCTGAATATCTTATATTTATTTTTCTTAGAGTCACCGTTGTACCTAAATAAGTACTCAATCAATGTTTGTTGTATGGAAACGAATACCTTTGAGAAAACGTTTCAAATAAAACTGATTTAAAGTGCAATTTCAAAGTGAGATATAAGTGCACAAATTTTATTTCATATGAAATAAAAGTTCACTTTGTACATATTAAAGTAATTTCTACAAAGTAATTTAAAACGAAGTTTCGAAATGAGGTATCAGTACATAAATTCCATTAAATGAAAAAGTAGATTTGTGCAAGTTAAATAATTTGTATAGGCCTTCCTTATTCTCAACATATTTATATATTTCATACAATCATTGTGTATTATAGTTCAACAGAATCTTAAATATCACCTAGATTAAACCCAGCAATTTAAAGATTAAATGAGAGTAAACGGAAGCTCAGAGTATCAGGGTGCCCACTGTCAAGTCCACTGATGGCTACCCAAGACTAAACCACAGTATCAATGTCTCCGTCAGTGCACTTCTATCAGTCATCATATTTCTCTAGCTGAAAGTTGTAGATTATTTATTTAAATTATATCTACTATGCTGAGGGTGAAATGATTACTTTTATCAAAGGTAATTTAAGGAAGGACTTGTATTTCTTAAACAGCAACCGCAGAAGAGAACAATTTACTCCTGATACGACTGACTTGCTGTGAGATATTAAGCAGGCTCCCATTTATCTAGGTTGCCATCTTGTTTTAGTTACAAAATGAGGGGAGTTAAGACTGATCTCTAAGACCTCCTTCCAATACTAAAATGCTATAACCCAATAGATATCTACCCCTACAATTTAGTCAAATAGGACTTTGCTAAGGTTTCAAGATTTTTGTGAAACTAACATATTAGCAAGATTATTGGAGAACTAAATAAAAGTACTTACTAAGTCAATTCACTAAAATTCAGAGAAAAATCTATTTTTAAAAATGAATGCATTGCCCAGCTGGTGTGGCTCAGTGGTTGAGCATTGATCTATGAACTAGGAGGTCATGGTTCCATTCTTGATCAGGGCACATGCCTGGGTTGCGGATTCAATCCCCAGTGGGGGGCGTGCATGAGGCAGCCGATCAATTATTCTCTCATCACTGATGTTTCTTTCTCTCTCTCACTCTCCCTTCCTCTCTCAAATCAATAAAAATATATTTTAAAAAAATTGAATGCACTATTAAGGGAACATCTCATACTAACATTTGGACCAACCTCCACAAAAATTCAAGATTTAGTTCCATTTCAGGGTTTTAAGGTTAAATTAATCAATCAATTGTTAATTCCCACTTAATGATCATACAGCAGTTATTTAATAAATATCTACTGTTGAATGACTAAGACCTTTAACTGGATTATCTCATTTAAGCTAAAATAAGTCTTATTCTCTAATTCTATAGATCATAATATTTGGTCTTTCTAAATCCAATGAAATTAAATTGTCAAATAATTTTAAAAATTATTATTTTAGTAATTTTCAGAAACTCTCTCCATTTCTCTCACATATGAGTACTTCACTTCAAGAAGGGTCTATTACATACCGGTTTGCTGAACAATATTGAAAAGAAAGGTTCCTGTGTGTTTCCTATGTATTTCTCTTGTAGTTTCCACTGTATCTAAATTGTACTAGGAATGCTTAAGGATCAAGTCTATAAATACTCTGCTCTTTTAAATTATTTAATGTGTACCTTAGCTCGGTCAGACCAACCAAAAGACTGGACAGTGACATCCAAACGTTTTATTAGCAGCTTTCTCCGAACTTCATATTCATTGGCTATGGCTTGGTTAATTGCTTCTATCTTTTCCTGAAACAAAACATTTTTAAGAAGTTAGAATTTAAAAAAAAAATAATAAAAATAAAAAAGAAGTTAGAATTTAAACCTGCTTGACCCTTGTTTCAAAAGGGCAGAAACTATCTGTTTCATTCATACCTGAATCCCAGCACTTAGCACAAAATAGTTATTCAATAAATATAATAAAAGTTATAAATTAAGGAAATGATATGCAAAATAATGTCTCAAAACATAACAGATATGTACAGTACCAAAGTATGATTTAGCTTTCCGATAATCCATTGTGTGAAGCTCAGCCCAATGAAGTTTTTGGCTTCAGGGCAACCCATTTGGCAATTAGAAACATGCATCATACTGAACTTCTATTCATTTTAATCAGCTGTATGAAATATTTACAAATTATAAGTGTTTCTAATCTTAAATTATTTGCTGCACAATCTTAAGATTCACAAATGATTCTAAGAATGTCCATCTAGGAAACTACGTATTAGAAAAAATAACTTAAAAAGCACCCACTGTAGGATCAACATAAATGTCATAGATAGATGGATGATTCCTTGCCAATTCACTCCACAGATGATCGCTACTCACCCAGTGGGCCGGTCCCAATGACTTCTTCAATAAAGGCTTTCCCACATGATTAGGTGGAACTTTTGCTAATGTTTCCTTTAACTGACACAAAAAACATAAATGAATGAATAAACAAATGTAAAAGTAACACATATCCTCCTCATCTTCCTAAATCCCATCATATCTTGCCATCAAAAGAAGATTCCTGACAGAGGGAAAGGCGGAGGATGTTTTGAAATGTACAAGACCCACACAATAAAGACACTCGCTGGCCCACTCCTCTCGTGCCTATGGAAGCATGATTCCTTCACTGCATCTATGACAGTGCCTGACAACGGCAGGCACTGAATGGGTATTTCCTGAAGGAATGAATGAACACACAGGAAAATAGGGACTATGGATACACTGCTGCTCCCCTGTAGAGTTCAGCCAGATTTGTGCATCATGGTGTCCATCTGCCCCATAATGCTAATGTACCAATTCTTAAGAGTCCAACAGATATGCATACAGAGAGTAACTCTGCTATAACAAATATCATCCTCTTTTATTCATTAATTTTTTTAAACCCCTTCATGGTTGATAATGTGTGGCATAAATTATTTTCACGTACTAGATTGTTAGCAGTCAAGAAATCTAAATCGCCAATTGAAACTTTGTAAGACTCGAAGTGAGTGGATTAAAAACAAGAACATTAACATCCTTTTCGGTCTAGTCAATGGGGAGGGTGGTAACATTTAATGATAAAGACTTTAAAACTTTAATTGCATTAAAGTTCAATTATAAAATAATTTTTAAAGGACTTAATTCTTTTTACATTATATCTAGCTTATTTCAGCTTAAAAATCCAAGTGTCAGTTTTCTTTTTGAAAAAGAAACATGCTAACAAGTTAAAAAAAAAAAACACACTAAAATACTGATTTCTCTTCAAGGCATCTAGGATTTAAAACCCAAAACTCATTTAGTAACAATTACTTAATAATATGCACATTAGGTTCCCATTAAGAGAAATTAACTTGCTTCATTTCAAACAAATGTAGGACTATGCCTTTAATACACTACAATCTGGTACTAAAGGTCTTACTTTTTTTTCAATCCCGCTGAAGAATTGGAACATAGTTATATTGGCTGGAGGTTTGGACATTCCTAGAGCAATACATATGCCTTTCAACTCTTGAAAGACCTCACTACCGCCTCCTTCTTGAGCTTTTTTTGGAGGAGCATTCACACAGAGCATTCTGGCAGCTTCTAGTTCTGAGATGAGGTATGCTGAAGTAAACAAAATAAGATTTCAAAATGAGATACAGCTACAGTTAATAGTCATAAGTCCGGAGTCACAACTCTATAGACCTAATGATATGTAACTTTTAAAGCTGCAAGAATGGATAAAAACAAGAAAGGAAAACCATATTTACCTCAAGTGACATGGCATATAAACTGATTCTGTAACACAGGTATTTAATCAATATATATTTAAAGGCTAATTTAAAAATAAGTGATTCTTCTTTGAAACCAAAGGATCAAGGTAGCTGACATCTAAAAATCTGGATTCTTGCATTCTACTGTTAAGGAATCTACAGAACAGGGGTTGGCATCTGTTGACAAATTTGCAAAAGGTGGCAGGTGGCAAACTTTCAGTGACAATTAAAAAGGTTATTTTTTTACTTCTCACCACTGACATGCACCAGTGATCCTATATAATAAAAGGCTAATATGCAAAGTGACTGAACGGCAGAACCACCGGTCACTATAACGCGCACTGACCACTAGGGGGCAAACGCTCAACGCAGGAGCTGTCCCCTGGTGGTCAGTGTGCTCCCACAGGGGGAGCGCCGCTCAGCCAGAAGCCAGGCTTGCTACTCCTTAGCACTGCCTTGGAGGCCGGAGAGGGCTCCCGCCACTGCCGCCGAGCTCACAGCTGGCAAGCGCAGCAGTGGCAGCGCTAAGGACCCCTCAGGGGATGTCCACCGAGGGGTCCCGGACTGCAAGAGGGTGAATGTCCAAGAGGGCGAATGTCGTGCACTGGGCCTCTAGTATAATTATATGTTCCTCTAACCATACAATACTTAGGAAGTCTGTTTAGAATTGGTGTGAAACAACATTTTTAAGTAATCAAAGTTTAATGTACAGGAGAAGGGGGAAGGCACCAAACTCCCAAAAGTTCCTTTCTAACGGTGTCCAGTAGCCTAATGTCACGTTCTGGCTGTTCAAAATAAACCTCCCTCGTCCATCTATATTCTTCTCAGGATTCCCTTCCCCCTGCTCTCCTCATTCTCATCCCCTCCCGTGAAAACAAAAGTTTCAAATCCTTTCTTGGCAGAGTCCTTTTGTATCAGTATCTTCCTGTGTGTGTTGATTTCAGTCATGGATAATGAGGGCTGCAATCTGCTTCAGGTAATTAAGGTGAAGATAAAATTTTCCATCTTATTCCTTTAACCTTCTATTTACGTTTTTATAAAACGATTAGTAATCATGTGGATTTCAGGACTTCAGGAATGTGGCCAAATGAGAACCTCCTGATAATATGAGAAAAATGGTTTTGAAAAAAGTCATTTTGGGGGCTCTTAAGTTTAGAAGGACAGAGGAATGATAGCCTGAATATCTTATGTCCTATACCCAAGGTGTAATGTTAGAAGTAGAGGGATCATAATTTTGGCAGATCATTTCTGAAAAGCTGCCAACTCCTATTCTAGAACAATATATACAGCTGAGTTTCTGGAAAGGTAATTCTAAATGGGTTTGATCAAATCTTAACATGTTCCATACAGCAAACTGTATGAGTTAAAAGATCAAAACAGTAAACTCCCCACTGTCATGAAAATAATCACTTTTTATAAATAAGGTGTTACTGGAACACTGCCACATTCCTGTTTCGTATCACCTCCAGCTGCTTACACGCTATAGAGCAGCACAGTTAAGAGTTGTGACAGAGATGTTCTGGTCCACAAAGCTGAAAATGCTTATTACCTGGACCTTTAAGAAAGAGTTTGCCAACCCTTGTTCTAGAAATTCATGTTATATGATTTAATAAATTTGTTCTCTAAATTTAGGACAAAGTAGCACAGGTATTCACAAAATTAGTTCCCCAATACAATTACCATCAAAAAGCATTAACTGTAGCTGGTGTGTTCAAAGTACTAGGAAAGGCACTGACTGGATATTTAATGCAAAACAAACAAAAAAGATTACCTCTACTGACAATCTAGTGAGGAATAAAGAATAAATGCATAAAAAGATGAATAGTTTTTCATCTATTAGAAACTTAGAAATGACTTATTTTACCTAAGGGAAATGTTCTGACAACCCGAAAGGCCAACGAACAGTTAAAATAGTTCTTAATCTGATTCAGGAGAGTTTTTTAGCCACTCATTCGAAGACTATTTTATTTTACTAACAATTCCAATGAGGTTAGTTTATTTTTTTACCCCTCAAAACACAATATATTCAAAGATTCAAATCAGTAAGGTAAGGGTGCTGGAAGAAGTAAATCAAATTATAGCATCAACATGTAACAACTGATACTTGAGAAAGACACAAAATATACGGAGCAAGTAGAGAATGAGTACATGTACATAAACATTAGCATGAAAGAGAAAACAAACTGAGGGGAATATTTCAGAAAAGGGGAAACAGCAAAAGCAAAGATAAGGAGGGAGGTGAGTAGTGTGCATGTGTGAAGAACACAAAGAGCAGAGTAAACTTGAGCTGACTCAGTCATTCAGTTGAGCAAATAGTTGCATATTCTTGAAAAGCTTTTGAGGTGATAGCACATTAAAACAGTCTATTAATATTGACCCAAAATGATCATGTTCTGTGCAGTCTGCTTAAGAAAGAGTTAAAGGTATTTTATAAAGATTTATATTCAAAGTGGTTTTCATAAATATCAGCACTAAAAAGGCCAAACTCTGAGCTCTTTGAAAGAATTAGCTACTCAGGGTTATTACTAACCTTTCCACACAGCTGTTGTCCTGCTATGTAAGATAACATGTTCTAAGTGCCAAATATTAGGTGTTGGTAACGATAAACAGTGCTGCCAAAGAATCACTGAGCACACTGTGGCTGAGCCAGTTACAGAAACTATATGATTTGAAGATTACTGCATGCATGCACAGAACTACTGCAACAATATCAGTACCTAAAGCAGTATCTAATCTTAAGGGCATATCCCCCAGTAACAATCATTTGGCAAAGGGGAAGGTAAGAAAGTGATTCTGATGCTCACTTCGGCAGCATATATACTAAAACTGGAACGATACGGGGATTAGCATGGCTCCTGTGCAAGGATGACATGCAAATTCATGAAACATTCCAAATTTTTTTTTTTAAAAGTGATTCTGGAATAATTAGTGTTCAGTATAATGGCTATGAACACTTTTTAAAAAATTGTACCTTCAAAATTAGAGTTATAGCATTTTCTAGAAAACATAGTACAGTTGTAAAGACAAATATTTAAAAAATACTCTTATTTGTGTTCGTCATAATAAGAACTGTACTACTAAGCTTAATCTAAATGTGTCTCAGAATGCTACAACAATTCTGAGTTAATACTATTCACTGAATTTATTGGAGAGTTTAAGACAGCAAAATTTGTGAGTCTACTTACTGTTTTTCAGGGTGAAGAGAGAAATAGTAGTTAGTATAGACAAAACATGGAAGGAAAGAACTTTTTATAATAATTTATTTCCCTCAATGATAGGTAAGTACAGGAACAAAGCAAATATTATTTCAGAAAATTTTACATTTACAAACAAAACCAACACCCTTAACCAATTACCCAACAAAGAAACATCAAGAAAATATTTTAATTTAAAAAACAAAACTTCATTATTCCCACACTGTTTTCCCAGTCTATTTTAAAATGTGCTTCCAGTCTAGAACGCTAAGGTTTAATGATCACACACTGAACAACACTCCAGCACTACCTTTGGTCACAGTAGGTGAAGCACAACGATAAATGAGTAGCAATTACAAAACAACTCTGCTACCAGCACACAGACCCAATAGCTTCTAAGCTGGAAATTTAATCAAGGTTTCGTTAAAATAAGTATTCTGAATTAAATCCACAATAAAACAAAACAGTAACAACTAGTTTATTAGTCTTGGAAAACATAAACAGAAAATAATAGCTACATTCTAGTAGCCATGAACTTACTGAGCAAAAGGAGGCAGTTCTTCTGAACGAGAAGGCGCTTGGTCACATCCCCAGAAGTCAGTGAAAGGTATGGACAGTTCATCTCCCCTAGTAGCCCACTCACCTCAAGTTGGAATTCTTCAGCTTCATTCGGGCCTTTGAAGAATTAAAATCATCTTATTTAATAAAAATGTTTTTCCCATTAGCATACACACATATATAAATTGAAATTCTTAATAAGATTTTCCTAACAAAAGTTCCTTTTTCTTCTAATCCATCTTTTCTCACGCCACTGACAATTTCTTCCTTAAATACTTTCATTAGGTTATTCCCTTATTTGAGAACCTTTAATGGCTAATCTCTACCTCATCTAATCGACTTTTTCTTTCTTTGTTTTAATCCTCACCCGAGGATATTTTCCATTGATTTTTAGACAGAGTGGAAGAGAGCGGAAAAGACAAAGAAACATCTATGTGAGAGAAACACATCAATTGGTTGCCTCCTGAATGAGCCCAACCAGGGCACCGGGGTGGGGAGGAGCCTGCAACCGAGGTAACATGCCCTGACTGGAATCGAACCCAGGACCCTTCATTTCACAAGCTGACGCTCTATCCACTTACCCACACCGGCTAGGCCAAATTTTTCTGTTTAAAGCATAGCCTCTCTACTTTGCCCTTCCCAGATTATGTTTCTAATAGTTACCTACTACTTCCACAAATATTTCCTCTACTTGTGCCAGGCTAGTCTCCTCAATGCCATAGGTCAGTCTAATTTCCACACCTGTGCCTTCATTTCAGTTATTCCATCAAAGTCCAGTGGTCTTGCTCCTTGATGAAACTTCACCCAGATGCTATAGCACTAACTGATTTCCTCCCACTGTGAACCACAAAGTGAAGCATGTAATTACTACTAATATCCAGTTGTTTCAATTGTGCCAGATATTTCTAGTTTCTAGACTAAGTGTGAAGGTAGTAAACATGACTTGTAGTTCTGTATTCCTATAACATTCAAAGTATAGAGTATACTGGGTGAACCAAGGAAAAACAATGCTCTTTATTCTTTACTATTTTGATGGCTCTCTATTCAATATCACAGTGGGGGGGAAATTCACAACTGTGAGAGTCACTTGACCTGAGACCTTTTTCTCATCTATAAAATGGGAAGACTGTTTATCAATTGTTTTGCAAACTGTGTCTGTGAGGTCCAGAGTTGCACAGACTTCCTTAGAGGCAGCGGGGACGATGAGGAGAGAGTTGTGCTAAAAGTACTCCCTCTCAACTTAAACTACAACAGCTACACTTTACCTGTTTTATGTGTTTGGCTTCTATAAAATGTTTTCATATAAACAAAGGGGATCCGGGTTATAAATATAGTTACCATATAGCACAGGTGTTTGTTCACAAGTTCTTACAATCTCTGAAATGTTAGGTGAAGAGGCAATGTTAAGAGTAATGGCTCCCAAATTTGACTGCTGGGATTGAATCCTGGCTTTATCACTTACTGGTTGTGCGACCTTAGGTCAGTGATGGCAAACTTTTTGAGCTCGGTGTGTCAGCATTTTGAAAAACCCTAACTTTACTCTGGTGCCGTGTCACATATAGAAATTTTTTGATATTTGCAACCATAGTAAAACAAAGACTTATCTTTTATTTTATATATTTAAATGCCATTTAACAAAGAAAAATCAACCAAAAAAATGAGTTCGCGTGTCACCTCTGACACGCATGTCATAGGTTCGCCATCACTGCCTTAGGTGATTATTTAACCTCATTGTGTTTCCTTGTTTAATGTATAAAAGAGTAATAAAACCTAGGACTGCCCTGAGGTTAAAATGAGTTAATACAAGTAAAGTACTCAAAACATAATAAGTACTCAATAAATGTAAGCTGCTGCTATCATTACTATTGTACTATACTCTCCTTAAAAATTAGAATTGGGCCCACTCGGTATGGCTCAGCGGTTGAACGTTGACCCATGAACCAGGAGGTCACTGGTTTGATTCCCAGTCAGGGCATATGCCCAGGTTATGGGCTCAATTCCCAGTAGGGAGGCAGGCCAGGAGGCAGCGGATTGATGATGTTTCTCTCTCAACCCTCTTTCTGTCTGTCTATCCCTCTCCCTTCCTCTCTCTCAAAATCAATGAAGGGAAAATTTTTTCTTAATTTGAGTTAAGTGCAATTAATATGTACAAATTAAATATATTAAACATAAAAGAGTGAGCTCTTCACAATGGAATTCTGTGAAAAAGAAAATGGGATTATGTGTATAGTTCTCTGTAAGAGTGGATTAGTAGGTGGGCATTCTTCTTTTGTCTATTCTATTATAGGTTTACCTATGGTAGGAGGGAAACCAGATGGTGGAGTCTCAGGTTCTAAGCCTTTGGACAGCTCTTTTGCAGAATCAACAAAACAGTAGTTGTTAATTGCTAAAACCATAACAAAATTGGCAAATATAAAACAGCTCTCAATGCTCTAAATCTGATGGTGTTGGATTTGATTCTGATAAAGCTAGTGATACATTCTTATACAGAAAACTTAATAAAGCGCTCTCTTTCTCCCTACATATACTAATTACAGAGCATTTACTTTACATATGTACTTGTAGAATCTGGTATTACAAAAAGAAAAATATCCTAATTTCTAGTGCTAGCCACCAATTTACGATCTCACAAGTCAAGTTTTACAGAGAATAAAAAGTTCACATATGCTATATTTCTCTCCATTTTTCTATATCTTAGTAATAGGGTCTTTTCACCTTCCATAACATTTGAACGACTATATTTAGTTTTTTTTCAACTTCTGAATCATTTTTCTCTAAAAACAATGGAGGCAGAGTATTCTGTTGCTTTACAAAATTTTTTTTTAATATTTACAAAGAACTTGAAATTTTAGCTTTAGTATTGATAATGTTCAATTGACAATACCCAAATTTTATTTTTTATATTTTGCACCTAGAACTGATATTTACTTACTGTTAGTTGCTTGCACATTTTCTTCCAGTTTACAGAGCACTCTTAATTCAGACACCAGCCAAGCACAGAGTTTGGTAAACTCAGGGGAACTGGCTCCAGCAGAGACCGCCTGAGACAGAGCGCCATCTTCTAACAATGGACCCTTGTAACTGGTGAGTTAAGAAATCATACTTCATAAGAATATAGAATCACACCTAATATATTAGATGCAATATACACTACTTATATATTATTTCTATAATTGATAGTTTAAAAAAGATCTTATGATGACCAGTTTCTAAACTTACGAATATAAAAATCTGAACTATACTAAATCATTAGAAAAATAAGCTAAATGTTAACTGCATTTCATCCCTTCAAAATATAGGTGAATATTTATGTCTACTTCTACACACTAACTGAAAGCTCTTACTGTATAAAGATTTCTTACTCTAACTGAACTGAGTATTAAAATCAGATTAATAAGTGATAGCTAATTATACTATATTTTACTACTTTAGAAATGAAACTTAGGTTATTTTTTCTTGAGATTTTTCCAGAAATCAATTAGTTTAGGGTTTTAATGACTTTCTTTAAAAGCAAAACTTTCCAATTAATCATTTATTTCCTTTTTCTATATTTAATGACGGTTAAGACCAGTAAGATCTGCTAGTACCAAAGAAATGTCAAGTTTAATTTAATAATTGCTTGTGAGTTATTGTTTGGGTGAACTGGTACAGTGAAACCTAATCCTTTGCAAGTGATTCAAATGTAATTTTAAAAAATTACTTAATGTTCAAACATTCATAAAAGGCAATAGTAATAATGAACCCCAATCTAGGATATAGCTATAATGAAAGATTTCGTCATTCTCAAAGGAATTTTAAAATATATTTTCTTCAGAAGATTATTTTTTCGTAAAGGAAATATTAATAAAAATAATAAGTACGCTTAAGATAATTTGATGTTTAGTGGTATAGAAATGTTAGAGTAATTACAATACTTGATCCTTTTAAAATACAATTACACTGAGTGGCCAGATTATTATGACCACCCCATCAGTACAATGAAGTGAATTAGTTATGCGAATAATAATAATAAAACCTTGAGAGTATCTGCTTAGGAAGTTTTCAATATTCAGTATTTTTGGAAGTGTCAGTTAAGTACTGATGGGGTGGTCATAATAATCTGGCCACTCAGTGTATATGTGTATACAATGAATGGAATGGAAAAAGTGTTACACAAAATGAGGTTATAGATCTCTGGCATCTAGATTTAAAAGCACACATTAGACACTGGAGTAAAGAGACGAGGCCTAGAAACTTCTTGTGTTTCACTTTTAGGTTTTGCTCTTTTATTTTACAAGTAGAGTTACTGAATTCCTACCGTGTGCCAAATTAGAGATAAAAGATAGTCATTTAATTCTAGCATTCCTCAGTGAATCCTTTAAGAGTACACACCCATCAATGAAGACTAAATTTTCATGATCGAATGCCACCAAACTAAGTAGTTGTGGTTAACAATTATAGCCAAGTTTTCAGGAAATCCCATGGCTTACATTACAACCCATCCTAACTAAATAACGTGGTTACAATGACTACTTTGAGAGTCCCCAAGAGCACAGTTAAAAGAAGGTAAGAGAACAATAATGGGAAGAAACATCACCCATCACCCCCTCTTCGGTGACCCCTTCCCGTGCAGAATGACTGCATTTGACGAAGGTCTGCCTCGTCCTCTCATCCCACAGCTTCCAACACTACTCTTAAGGGTCGCTTCTTAGAAGCTCCTACAGTGATGGCGAACCTATGACACGCGTGTCAGAGGTGACACGCGAACTCGTTTTTTTGGTTGATTTTTCTTTGTTAAATGGCATTTAAATGTATAAAATAAATATCAAAAATATAAGTCTTTGTTTTACTATGGTTGCAAATATCAAAAAATGTCTACATGTGACAGGGCACCAGAGTTAAGTTAGGGTTTTTCAAAATGCTGACACGCCGAGTTCAGAAGGTTCGCCATCACTGTCCTAGGACCCGATTTCCTTTGGCAGCAAAGGGCCCCTCCTCACACCTCCGCACAGCACATCCGGGTGGCGTGCACTGCTCTTCCAGCTCGCTCGGTACCATCCCCGCGCAGCCCAACACTGCCCGGAACAAGTGTTCCTCAAAAACTGTTCACCGAATGAATGGCTTCAGGTGCGAGCGTGCAATTCCGTGTGAGATGTCTACCGAAACAGCCCGTTTTGCTGAACCACTTTTATGTCTACCCTATTCAAAGAAATAAGCCCCCTAAAGTTTAGAATATTCTATATATATATATATATATATATATATATATATATATATATATGTATATATATGTATATATGTATATGTATAGGACAGTGGTCATCCACTTGGACAAAGAAAGGCGATCAGCACTGCCACTTCCTTTCCTAAAAATTTCTCCCCGGACAGCAAGTTTACTCAAGTGGACAGACTCTGGGAACCCGCACAGGGTCCTTTCTTCAAGGAGAACACAGTTTCCCCTCAAATGGTTTCCACGTGAATCCAAAAGCCCAAGGAAAGGTTTTGATAAAGGACTTTTTTTTTTTTTTTAAATAAATACAGCTACCTAAATCTGTGTAAAAAAAAAAAAAATTGACATTGTACCTCTAGCCAAATATTGAATCATACGACTTGTTTCTGAAACCACAGTGACCCCAAGGTTCTGAGTTTTCAGGTCTTAGCAGAGTCTTCTGACCCGGGAAACCAGGGAGATAAGCAGCCTCATTGCCCACTTCTAGGTGAGCCGACTGTGGGTTCGCTAGCTGTCAGGAGGGGAGACAATGGGCACCACACACGGGTAGGGACGTGGTGCGTGCAGACCACCCCGAGGGTAAGTCAGGGCGGGCAGTGGCTCCGAGGCGTGCCAGACGCGGGAGGAACTGGCCGCGGTTCCCGGCAGGTGAGGGGCACCGCGAGCGAGCGGCACGGACGCGGCGCACAGACATGTGGCTCCGGGAAGCCCGGTGCCCGCGGATGACTGGGCAAAGATGTCCTGAGACCAACGGGTGGGGTAGGCGTGGGGGCTCACGGCGGGGAGTTCGGAGGACGAGGAGGAAAACCCGAGAATCAACTTTGGCAACCTCTGAAGTGAGGGGGTCCCGCCGGAGGATGGGGAGCCGGGAGAGGCGCTCCGAGAGGGGGTGGGCGAGAACCGGTGCCCAGACAATGACACGCTAGACCGGGAAACAGCGCGGGGACCTCCGCTGCAGGGAGCACGGGGCAGGCCTCGGGGCGTCGCAGGCGGAGGGCCCCGCGCGAGTTGGGCAGAGACAGCGGACGTGGCATTGGGGTCCCAGAGCCTGAGGGGAGGCGACAGCCAGGCGCCGCGGGGTGCGGCGTGGAGAGCCAGGTGTCTCCGTCTGGGACTCCGGAGGTGTGCCCCGGGGACCGGCCGCGTGGGGACCGGGAGACCATGCTCTGGGACTCTTACCCCAGGTCTTCCAGCGACTCCAAGATGTCAGTCTCCATGAGGTCGCACTCCATGCTAGTGGTATTCAAATTTCCGAGTCCTGAGGCTCCCCTCTTCGCCGGCAACGCGTACGCTAGCGCATGCGCTGCCTCCCCGGAACTTCCAAGTCGACGTCTGGCGCCTCAGCCCCTGCACTGCGCAAGTCCCGAGCGTGCGCAAGAAACGTGGTCCCGCCCATAGCCCCGCCCCTGCCGGCCGAGGGATGGCCAGGAGGCAGAGGTTGGCACATGCGTGTTACTGAGTAGTGAAGCCGGCAGCCCAAAGGAGGGCAGGCGGACTTGCTGCGTGGCAGCCGGGCGTGGGGACCAGGCGACGGGGGGAGGGGGGAGGTTAGGAGGCGTAGCGTTCTAGTTTCTCTTAACTTGCTTTACGCAAATGTGAATCTTGGGGCGAAGCGGACGGGGGAGGAGTCGGGGGGGGGGGGCGGGGGGTCTCTAGATTCGGGTGGGTGTTGTCTGTGAAACAATGTTGGACCTCAGGGAGTGGAGGGAGGGGTTGTCCGCACCCCGCCAGCGTGTGCTCGCCTTAGCTGCGGGCCATGGAGAAGGGGAAAATTCTTAAGGTTCGGAGACATAACCGGGACAAGTGCCGAGAATGGCATATACAGTAAATGCGTTTGGATTTCCTTTTGGTTGCAGGAGACGTGTTTTGAGGATCAGAGAGCAGGAAACGTTCCTGTGTCGTGGTCATATTCAGAAAGTTGTTGCACTCCCCGCTTTGCATTCTCTGACTTCTTAAGACCTTCAGACACTAAGGATCTTATTTTAAAGGGTGGGGCAGAGAAGGGCTTCACTGCATAACAAAAAGAATAGAATATATTTAAATCCATGCACTTTAGACAGTGAATACACTTTTTTCCTGTCATGCAATTGCCTTTCATATTATTTGCCTGGGTGTAACATTCAATTCACGGTGGGTTATGATTTCTTGATAGTTATTGGTTGGGTATATGCTTAGAAATTATTGGGGAAAAAAATGAAATAAAAAAGTTTTCAAGATGATGGCATATTTAGAAAATTATATTAAAGCATAAATTGGTATAATATTGCATTGTGTAGGCATTTAATTAAAGAGTTTTCTAATTGGTACCAGGGTGTGTGTGTTTTTGTAATCTTCAAACATTTTTGTGTCTAATGGGTAAAAACCCCCTATACCTTAAGTTCCTGAATTTGCATCATCTGGAGGAGGGGGTGAGGAATTAACATTTATTATGCTTGGCATAGTATTACTTCCTTGATCCGTATTATTTTACTCAGTCATCATAAGGCTGTGTAAGTATTACTCCCATTATACAGATGACACTAAGGCTCGCTCAGTAGCTTTATGATCAGGTAAAATGATAAGACCAATAAGAAATGTATTTTGAGGCATATCTGAATCCATATTCCTTTCTACTTGACTTCAAATAAGGATTTATAGGCTAGATGTGAAAAGATAGGAATATCGAGCTATTTGAGTTTATGTAAGCTTGTATATGTTGTACATGATTACCTTATAATAAAAATGGCATAATAATTTATTCTCATAGGGTTGTAGAAGGTGCCAAATAAAAAGTAATGCTTAATGCAAAATCAGTTTGGGAAAAAAAGTTTCATTCTTGACTCAATTTTCCACGTAAATTGTAACACTATTAGTGAGCAAGTGATGAGTCCCCTAAATTTATTTTTCTAATACAAATTGTTAGGTTAAAGGGAAGGTAACCAACACAAAGGGATTTTTAAAATATACTATTTAAAATAAGTCTGTAATACATCTTGTTGCAATAAAAACAATGCTTCTAAAAGTAAATATTGTCTCAATAGCCCTAACTGGTTTGGCTCAGTGGATAGAGTGCCAGCCTGCGGACTCAAGGGTCCCAGGTTCGATTCTGGTCAGGGCATGTACTTTGGTTGCGGGCACATCCCCAGTAGGGAGTGTGCAGGAGGCAGCTGGTCAATGTTTCTCTCTCATTGATGTTTCTGACTCTCTATCCCTCTCCCTTCTTCTCTGTAAAACATCAATAAAATATATTTTTTAAAAAAATATTGTCTCAATAGAAAAGGGAAAAAAGTAAATATTTCAATCATTTTTATAGGATCTACTAGAAATCTTTTGCAGTTTATTTTGCATTTGTTTGTATTTATATTGTAACTAGGATATCTAAAGACCTCATTCAAACCGAAATTTAACAGAATGAAAAGAACACTGATTTGGGAATTAATGTGAGCCCTGGTTTTTGATTCAGATCATTATAAGAAAGAGACAGGGAAAATGAGACACTTTCGGGGGGCTAGCCATCTGAATTAGTCCCAGTAACCTGCTTTCTACTGCACTCTCTTGCTAGCTGATAATTAACTCCATTTGTGAAAGAATGGGGAGACTGGTCTGGTCCATCCTTAGTTCCTCCCATGCCAGGTGTCTCCTGGGTATCTGAGCTATGCTGTGCTCAAGGCTGCAAGCTTTCTATAAGATACCTGCTAAGCACAATAAATCTTCCTCTGCCCTGTTTGGTTCTTTTTAACCCCTTTAATATATAGAAAGAAAATCTCATTGTCCAGGCGGTTCAGGATCTGGATCTTAGAGTCCCCTGAACTAGCAGCGCTGCTTTAATTAAAGGCTCTTTCCCCGAACCTCAGTGTCCGCCTGTCACTTCCGTGCCAGTTTCATAAATTCCACCTTCCCTAACAAAAGGATTTTCTAACACAGTTGTCTAAAGTCCATCAGGTATCTTTAAGAGATGAATTTTCTGTGTAGAAGGTGTTCAACTTGAAATTATGAATGACCTTAGTTTAAAGACCAGCCTTTCCAGATCTTCTTGGAAAAAGTAAAAGAGAAATCATATTTTATACTTATGTGAAAAATGTACCGGGGAAAATTGAAATGAAAACTGCTATCAATTTTCAGAGGAACATCTTTTTATGTATAACCTTAAATAGTATTATAAGGGAAATTTTTAGTTATGTAGTAGTTAAAAATTTATGCAGCCCTAGCCGGCTTGGCTCAGTGGATAGAGCTTCAGCCTGCAGACTGAAGGGTCCCAGGTTCGATTCCGGCTAAGGGCACATACCTGGGTTGCAGGCTCGATCCCCAGTAGGGGGCGTGCAGGAGGCAGCTGATCAATGATTCTCTCTCATCATTGATGTTTCTCTCTCTCCTCCCTTCCTCTCTGAAATCAAGAAAGAAATATATATTTTAAAAAATGTATGCGGCTGAGATTCTTAAGAAAGTTACTTCTCTCCTGGCCAGCATGGCTCAGTGGTTAGAGCATCGGCCTGTGCAATGAAGGGTCATGGTTTCCATTCTTAGTCAAGGGCATGTACCTGAGTTGCAGGTTCAATCCCCCGGCCTGGTGGGGGGGTGCATATGGGAGGCAACCAATACTGTGTCTCTCTCATATCTCTCTCTCTATCTCTCCTTTCCCCCCTCCCTCCCCCCTCAGGATTAACAAAAGAAAAATAAAGTTACTTCTAAAATCTATAGAAGGGAAATTTTTTATTTTATTTTTTAATTGAATTTATTGGGATGACTTTCTTCTACCTCCCCCGACTTCCCTTTCCCTCTGATAATCACCATACTGTTGCCTGTGTCTATGAGTTGTTTGTTCCCCTTAATTCCTTCTCCTTTGTCACCCAGCCCCCCAAACCCTGCCCCCCACACATGTCAGTCTGTTCTTTATCTATGAGTCTGTTTTTATTTTGTTTGTTAATTTATTTTGTTCATTAGATTCTACATATGAGTAAAATCATATGGTATTTGTCTTTCTCTGACTGACTTATTTCACTTAGCAAAATGCTCTCCAGGTCAATCCATGCTGTCTCAAAGGGTAAGATTTCCTTATTTTTAACAGCCAAAGTAGTATTTCATTGTGTAAATGTACCCATCTTTTTATCCACTCAGCTACTGATGGACACTTGGGCTGCTTTCAAATCTTGGCTATTGTAAATAACACTGCAGTGAACATGGGAGTACATATAGTCTTTCGAATTAGTGTTTCGGGTTTCTTTGGATATATTCCCAGCAGTAGAATCACTGGGTCACAAGGCAGTTCCGTTTTTAATTTTTTTAGGTAACTGCATACTGCTTTGCACAGTGGCCGCACCAATCTGCATTCAAGGACTCTTCACATGACCGTCCATGCACACATGTGACAAGTGCGTTGGGTGGAGCCTGGCTCACTCCTAGTTCTTTCACTTCTTGGGTGGAGTTGGTTTGAATTGACACAGTGAACCAAACAGACACTGGTCTAATTTGGATGTAGTAAGAGTTTATTAGACTCTATCCCAAAAGTGATAAACTGGTAACCGTATCAGGCCAAGAGTTGTGTTTTATTTGGCCTACGTGATACAGTTAAAGAATGTTGAGTCCTCATTTAAAAGTTTGGAGACATTATTGGGGTTTCTTCTTTTTTTAAAAAAGGTATTTTATTGATTTCTTACAGAGAAGAGGGGAGAGGGATAGAGAGTTAGAAACATCGATGGGAGAGAAACATCAATCAGCTGCCTCCTGCACACCCCCTACTGGGGATATGCCTGCAACCAAGGTACATGCCCTTGACCAGAATCGAACCTGGGACCTTTCAGTCCGTAGGCTGACGCTCTATCCACTGAGCCAAGCCAGTTAGGGCGTTACTGGGTTTTCTTGAAAAAATAAATCAGTGGACTTGGTAGCACTGAAGTCTTATTGCCCATCAAGGCAATGATTGCCTTAGGTTGAGAAGGCTGCCGGTTCAGTTTTCTTAAAACCACCTCAGATGGTTTTATGATTAGTCTTTCATCATTTAACATTAATGTTATAATTTTATGTTGTTTTTAAAATATGTTCTGACCTTTCTTATCCAGTTGCTATAAAAGGATGAATTTTCTACATGTTGCTTAGTACATTGATGCATATACAATAGGCATAAAAAATGTCGATTAGTTGATTGACAAGGAAGTTTTCCCTTTCTCCTAACCAGACTTGGCTTTCTTCTGAAAGAATAAAGCGATTCTTTACAGGGAATGAATAACTGTACAACAGTGAGTTATGCTCTGAGCTCTTGGATCATCCTGGAACGTACTCAATGCCTATTTAAAACGAGGCTATTTTGGTAGGATGATATGTTCTCTGCTGACTTAGATTGTTATTAGCAACTTTGTATTTTATTCTAG